CTGAACCACTGTCCTTTTTCTCCCGTAAACCACAACCTAACAACAACCAACAACCTAACAAAAAACTAGGTATAGAAGTTTCGGAGAATTGTTGGCCATTTATCTCGTCAATAAACACGCGACTCCTCGAAGGTAATTCAGTAACTATTCTTACAGATCAGAAGTCACTTGTTTTGCCTTCCGTGATTCTCCGGACTGTCTTTCCCTAGTGAAACTCGCCTGTTTGATGGCATATCACGGTTTGCAACTGACATCCGTCAAATAGACGCTGTTGACAATGCTGTGGCCGACGCAACGTTCTGCACAGGACTTCATGAACTTCCGCGTCCGGCAATTGACCTGGAAGGAATCACTGCACCTAAGGAGGGAGATCCGTAGTTTACGCAGATGAGATCAAACTTACTCTTTTCTCACTTTTAACTCGGACTCTAAGGTTCAGTGTGATATGTTTACGGGTAAGCCTCGACTCTTCGTTCCTCACCGAGCCATTGTCGACTATTTTCACGAGCTCTAGCACCCAAGCATTCGAGCTACTGTTAAGTTGATCCCATATCGTTTATTTGACACAATATGTGCTCTGACACCCAACAGCGGGCAAAACGCTGTATTACGTGTCAGACCAGCAAGGTACATTGCCATACAATCATTGTCCCTGACACGATTTCACTACCGGATGATCGTTTCAAGCACGTCAATCAGAACATCGTTGGGCCTTTGCCTCATTTTAAGGGTTTCTAGTAGTTGTTAACGCATAGGCCGCATGCAATGCCATTAAGGGATGCCGCATCTGAAACAGTAGCGCGAACTTTCATTGAAACGTGGATTTCTTTTTTGGCACAACTGCTATTAGCAATACAGACAGAGAACCGCAGTTCACTTCTTCGTTGTTTCATGACCTGAGTTGTTTGCTCGGTGGTACTCACTTACGAACAATCGCATACCATCCAAATGCCAATGGCTTGGTCGAACGCTTCTATAGTCAACTGAAAGCTTCGATTAACACTTCTCAGTCGAGCACGAAATGGTCGGAGGTTCTGTCAATTATTATGATTGGCATACGTAAGACTGTTAAGGAAGATACAGGTTGTTGCCCCGCTAAGTTAGTTGTTGGCAAGCCACTTAGACATCCTGGAGAGATGGCGCTGGATTCAAGGGTCACTGGAGACGCCTGAAGAGTCACTTTAGTTCGGTGCACGCAACAACTTCAAAACTCACGCGTCGTAAACCATAGGTGTATTCTGATCTTCGCGATTGTCCCTACGTTCTTGTGCACCGATACTGCTCGTAAACCTCTGACTCCACTCTACGAGGGTCCTTACAAAGTTATCGATCGCAAGGACAAGTATTTCATGTTGTACCGCCATGATTACAAACTCTGTGAGCATCGACCATCTGAAATCTACTTACACCGAAATTCCCTCGTCACAGCACTTTACAGACACATCAACCCCGGATGATGATGCATCGCCGAGCACCCCTCCTTCGCAGCCCATGTGTGATCCCAGTGGGCCTCGCAATTCCCTGCGACACCAACCATAACAACTCACACACACAAACGCACAGGATTTTTTCGTACGGTGGTCCCCCTCCCAAACTAGCGTTATGAGATTAGTAAGACGTAAATTTCGAGTAGTTGCTTGTCCACTTATGCTCCAGGGGGAGTCCTATACCGTTTATAAGACTCATTTTTATTCGTTATAGCACGTCAATTTTTAATCGGTATTGCAGTTTATTTAACTAACGATTTTCGATACATTCTTTTCGACGTACCGACTGCGCGTCTTGCTACTCAATTACATCGTGCTGAGCTCGTTCCGTCTGTATACTTGGGATGTCTGAATTTCGTCGAGCCAACACCACGGAATACCAACTTTCGATTATTTCATCAGGGGAGTCTGTGGAATTAATCCAGTCGATAACATCTGAAGGCCAGCGTAAACCTTTCTTTTCTCTGACATTGATTCATTCGTTCTGGTGCAGTAGTCTCAGACTAACCCCACTCCAGTACAAACTCCTTTCTGACGCCACAGACGTATCAGACTCAAGAAAGTAGTCCTAGTTTTGGCAATGAGTAAACTGATTTTAGTGACTATGAGCCCATCGCTGCTGCCACGGTAAGTGAAATGATTAACTAACTCGAGTTCCTCGTTATCGATTCGGGCTCAGTAATTGGCTATTGGTCCTGCAACAGCACTGCGCTTTGAAGGTGCAAAACGCATACCAAACAATAGGATCAATCTAGAGAAGTAATTCAGGGCTGATTGGGTACCCAAAAATCGAGCAACACCAAAACAATATCGAACGCATATCCAAGGGTAACAAGTTTTCCACCAGGCGGCACCTCAACACCTGCATCGTGAGATACCGAAAGGGAACACTATACGATGAAATACATGACGAAGACAAAAAAATGGGGAAATTGGACAACCCCGCTGAACGCCATTTGTTGTCGGAAAGACATCCGACGAGTCACCGTAGACCCTGACGAGGCCCGTGATGTTCGAGCACAGGATACGTAAAATGTTCAAGTATCCGTGCGTATTTCGAATAGATCGGTCGATTGGGTCGAACGCACACTTAAAGTCGAGGGACACAACTATTGCCGGTCTGCGGCACGTGTGAGGTAAGTCATAACACTTACCACAGTGGATATAATCCCGCCCTTGCTGGAAATGTGCCTCCTTTTCTCTCGTCTGGGATTCCCATTACACAGTGAGGCGATAAACAAGAATTGAGGTCAGTAATTTTGTCACCATCGGCGTTAGGCTAATACCACTGCATACTGCAACTATAATCGATTCACTTCTGTTAGTTGGGATGGTCTCTTCCAGTGGCGTAGCATGGGGCGGGGGCGGACCGCTCCGGGCGGCATTTCATTATCGTCTATTTTTCGATACCAAATATGTAGGCAAGATATCCGGATAAGCTGAGGGTTGAACACTTTAACGTTACTCTGCATGACCAAAAATACCTTTGCGCCATGTGTCATACCTGTGCGAACGTTCTCTTGACGATCCAATTGTGGTCACTTTCACCAGTTACCTCAGTGTCCCAAACGACCAGCAATTTCATCGGAAATTATAGTGCACTTTAGCTTGAGTCAATTGAGTGGCCTTTACGCGCGTTCTGCTCTCATTCAGGACCAATACTTTACCACTGCCCCGGGCGGCAAAAGCAGTTTCTACCCTACTGGTCTCTTGCTCCCAAACTTTTTTGAACAGGGAGGTCAGTGCTTTGCAGAGGAGCTCAGCACCAACCTTGTGATACAGGTGTAAGGGAATCCGGACCAGCAGTTCGGAAACGATTAAGTCCTCTGATCGCATTTTGGAGCTCAGCCATGGCTCAGCCTGCATGCTCGATTTGGTAACGAGCAGGGAGCCAACTGAACTACTCTAGAGTGCTCTGCCTAACGAGCCATACGGCGCACACTGAGAATCAGAGCACCGTACTGTCTCTGATTGTCACACAGATGGCTTTTCCTGAGACCAGAGGTGTGGATAAGTTAGGACTTGCAAATCTCCGTATTGCTCGCGCCTCTATTTGTTGAGTTCTACTGGTCCAGCAGGCTTCTTTGTTAGCACCCAGGCTCCGCTTTAGTTCGCGACCAATAGTCCGCCTGGTTACGTTGTGCTTAGAGCCAGCGGAGTTTTTATCGGAATTCCAACAGGTTCACCGACCTCTCGGATGTCCCCTAACTGATGAGACCGAAAGCCTATTCCACTGAAGCTTAGTGTCCTTAGGATGAAAAAGTGAAGCTGGTACGCAGAGCATCCTGGCATGCTTGCTTGATCGAGGGCTGAGATTACTACTGTTGCGAATCGAGAGGTGCTTGATACGCCTCCCAGTATCAAAGCATGATCATAGTCGACACAAATATTCGAGAACTGGCAGTAATCCAGGATGGAACTACGTCACTTGTAACTGCAATGTGCTTTGTTTGGCCCGATTTTGGCCCTTCGGTGCTCACTGTGAATAAAAGCAGTGCTACCAGGAAAGATACACGCGGTTGCAACAGACGCCCGCCGTTGTCAGTCTGGCAGAATTTTGAAGACCTGACTAGGAGTTCTGTTATGTAGTTAAGCCCTTTTAGTTTGGTCTTTCCACTACAGGCCTCCTTCGGCATTATTATTACGTGTAATATAGAATAAACTACAGCGATACGATTCTTTAAGTTTTTAAGGGCCACGACATGCGGGAGGTGCTAGTAGAGCAGGGTGCCGTAATGAAGAAGTCGTGATCTCATTCTAAAGGGCAATAGCATTCTAGAACGAGTGGATGGATAGTGGAGGATGATGTGGACAGTATAGTAAAAGGTGAATACAGGATACGGCTACAAAATCACCTATCCAATTGGGGGGACAATTAGGTATTTACATCAGTATACTAAAAAAGAGTAAGTGTGTAGCATAGTAGGTTTGCCCACTACTTGCTGTAATTTGGCAAACAATGCACCCCTTTTCTTAGCTGCTCCGCTAGATGTTGTGGGGGGGGGGCAGTGAATGCCATTAGTGCACAAAACGGAGGTAGTTGGTTGTCTAAACACGGAAACAATAACAACTAGTGTCGCACTATTGTAACAAATAAACCGTTATCATTCGGCTACAGAATGTTGTGGGGGATGAAAGTCTTATTGTAACACTGTCAAGTTAATGTGAGCAGTGAAAAAGGCGAGGCATAACAATAGTATTACCAGTGCGCAGGTACGTCACGCCATCGCATTGCCGCGGTACAACTACCAACAGTCGGGCGCGAGGTAGGCATGCTGCGACGTCGCCTAAAATGCAGGATCGAACCGGTAGATCAAAGGCGTACGCCTGAGACACCTGTCCACAAAACAAAATTCGTTAACGAGTTGGACGGACAGTGACACTAAGACAATAATAAGGAGGCAAAAAGCGCACCTAAAATGCAAAACGAGTAGTTAGACAAATGAGTTTGACAAAGGCTACGCATATTGCTTAAAAGCCAGTGCCTATTTGAAAAACACTGTATACACTCACCTGAATACATACCAGCATTTGAGGTTTCCGTTTTAGTGATGGAGTCGTAGTTCATCAAAGAGCACTTATATCCAGCGTCATTGTGAAAGTCGTTTAAGTGGTTTGTCAGATACCTTAGTGTCTTGAACGCTCGAATACAGCCAGGAACGTCACAACGGTATGGCTTGCGAGGGCATGAGTCTGAAAAATAAATATAAAAATATGAGAAACCTACGGTACTGATTACCGCAAGGCATATTTTCGGAGTTTTCGGATGGAACACTTGAGAAGGCAGACGTGGCCGTGTCAGCTAATTCTGCATTAGGATTGCGGAGAGATGTTTGCTTGGAGGCAGGTGGATGGTAATCTTGAATGAAGTTTGTGGTACACTGACGATCATTAGTTACATGCGGTAAGAGTTCGAACATATCTACTTCGGAGTCGGCTCCCATGCGCGTGGTCCAATTGAAGGAGCTTGCCTTAGTTGCTAGCTCCTCTTTGATCCGCAGATTTTGCTTTACCGTGGGTTGCGAAATTAAATTGGAACAAACGGGGTAAAAGTTATCCAGACTTTTGTGGGTGCTGTCGATGTGCTTGGTTACGTTCCTGTTGTATTGGCTGGAATAGATACAATGGGGGCATCGGTAACGTTTGGCCGGAAGGACTCCTGATTCATGTTTTCTCATATGATTTCGTAAAGAAGCCCCATGTCGATACTGCTTGCCGCATAAGTTACAAAAGTGCGCTTGACTAGGTGATGAGCAAGGTGGTGTTCTGCTGGTTGTCTTTATGTGTAGGGAGTCGAGTTGAGGGCTTGGGTGTGTGGCCGAACGGACAGAAGTAGCGTTCCTAAAGTCGGACTGTGAAGACACACCCACACAACTTGGGGTCCAATGCGATGAATGTGAGGCCTCACTTCCTTGTGGGCTAGAAAAAGCTAAATTGTCGCCTGGGCAATCGATGTTAGTCTGCCCGACAACTGAGATTGTCGACACAGAAGGAAACTGATTTTCGGCGTAAGCGCTTTCAGCGTGAGGTTTGGAATCAGCTGCGCAAGCGCTTTGAAGGCTTTGTATGGCGGTATCATCCATCACCAACGTGCTCATGCTGGTAACATTGTTTGGTGTATCTTCAGGTTGCGGAGGACCATAATTCGATTGCATCATGATTTCAGTCAGTTCGCTGTTCGCTGACATTGGAAAAGAGAGTGGATTGGAGGTTGACGCAGTAGCAGCGTCAACAGGGACATCGAGGACCGAAGAGGGACTATAGGTCATCTTTAACGTACAGACAGGGTCATAAGAAGGCTCAGCGACATTTTCAGAAGGATGAAAAGGACGGTCCTTGTCGCACTCAAAAGTGTTAACGTCGGGTAATTCCTACAAACATCACATAACTGAGACCGAATTACCCTTGGAGTGTCGCACGAGAAAGTATTGGCTTGTTCGGAGAAAGTGGCAGCTGTATCGGAAGTAGCTCCAGCAGCGTCAGTGGTTTCATCGTCCTGACCTAGTGATAACAAATCTAGTACAAAGTGTTAGAAGTACCGAGTTGAAAGTCCGAGCGTGTGGGTAACTTCTCCATTGTAAGAGTAACAGCCTGTGAATTTAGACACGGTCAAATGACGATTTGTACAACGGCAGAAGTGCGCCAAAAAGATTCAGTTTAGATAAGCCAAGGAGAAAAAGGCAGACGACAAATTTCTAGACGGGAGAGCCAATGGTAAGAACAACATGTGGATCATGCTTCACAATGCTCAGTTTTAACCGTTGAATTTGGCAGCGCGTTGCTAAACGGTCAGTATTGAAGTCGCCCGGTTAACCTTCACTTACGTTAATTTTAACCTACTTAATGGATATATAATATGGTGAAAAAAATAACGCATATAATTTCAAGGAAATATTGTTTTTTTTGGATAACGGAAGCTCACGCAGCAGCCTAACTCTACCTTTTTAGTTCATTGTCTCATCAAATTACTTAACATGTTAAATAATATTTTGTTCAAACTTTCATGATTAATATTTGCTAAGTATTGTTACAAGCTTACTTATCTATCATGTATGCTTATACATCTGATATTTATTTACCTTGACATAGATACATTTATACATGAACGTACTATGATATAGATATGCTATTATACATTTATATAACTTTTTATGTGTAGGGTTTCGCTAATGCCTGCGTAACCTATCAAGCATATAAAGTGTGCAGCGTTGAATGCATGCGCTTCTATTCGCAGCCAGTGATCGTTGTGGAGCACGGTCCCAACACCATGTGAATGGAGACACAAATAACCGCGCAATTTGAAGGCTACAGGTTATTTCTAACAACTCTTTCTACAAGATAATAGGAAAGCTATAAGTAACAGGCACGTTATCTGAATATAGGTTCCTAGTTTTAAGAAAAGTTGCTTCGCCTCTATTTGCAGACTTCAACGGAAAAGATTCCGACTTTTGTCGATATCTCAGCGATCGAGTACAAATCGGGTTGATATTCGACCGCACGAAGCTGACAACCTTTCGTTCATTCAGTCTCGACCAGCTGCAACGTAGAACAGCTTTAGAGTTTAACCTACTGAAAAGCCTGTTTTAGTGTTCGTTGCTACTTTTATTGATCTCGTTGTTTTAAATATTGCAAACGGATCACTCCGGGTTCTTTCTGATTGCTGCTCATGTTGATTCCGTTGTAGCCTACCGTACCGCTGCTTTACGTTCCTATCGTCCGTTAAATTTCCCATTTTTCGTTATGGTAGACATATCCGGTTCCTAGTCGCCCTCGGACCCTTTAACCGATTCGTCAGCTTGTAGCGACCTGGAGATTCCCCATATGACTGTGTAAACTATTCTAAAATATTCAAATTATAGCTTTCTTATGTATTAGGGAACTATTCGGCATGCCTGTTGGAACGTTGTTCCCGTTCGATGGAAACACGCGAATGATCGCCTTTGGCGCGCGGCTCGATTGCGAACGACGCTCCGTCTACGCTCTCGACGTCAACGACATTCTCCCTAGCTAGCTCTCTCCGGGTGCCCTATTTTTAGCATTAGCTAACGCTCCTTCCGTCCAATAAACTTCTTCCCTAGTTTACTTTGTGTCTTCTACCCACTACTTTTGGTTGGCCGTCTAGTCGCATACCGGATATATAGCGCACGATCCACGCGCTATAATTGGTGACCCCGAAAAAAAGCCATTTTGTTGAGTTCGGTACTAATATTACTTTTCAGATCCGGTAACTTATTCTGTCTACCCTTCTACTTTTACTTTTTAATACTTGCATTCTCTTTCACACGCTCTGTAATTTTTCACCATGAAAGTTATTCACTCATCTGACCAGCAGGTTAGTGCGTTCCGTTTTCCTATCCCGCCTTTCCGTGATACTAACCCTAAGGCCTGGTTTAACCAGCTAGAGTCCATTTCTTCGTTACATGGCGTTAACTCTGACAGCGTCAAATTCCACTGCGTTGTCGTCGCGCTTCCTTCGCAAGTCGTAGATGACCTCGACGACATCTTGGAACTTCCGGAACACCAGAAAAGTTACGATGAGCTTAAGGACGTCGTCTTAAAGCGATTTGGCATATCAGACCATACTCGCGTCACGCAGCTTCTTAACTAAACCAAGCTAGGGGATCGAAAGCCTTCGCAGTTGCCGCACAAGATGCAAGCTCTAGCTAAGCCTCTCGCTGTTGGCGACTCTTTCCTTAAAGAGATGTGGCTTCGTTGCCTGCCACGTGACATGCGCAATCCCTTGTATGCAAACGATGCGCCTCTTCCTCAGCTCGCCGATATTGCCGACCGTATTTGGGAATCCAACAGCCAAATATCTCAGGTTCAGTCTACCTCCAGTACAGAGGTAGCAGAACTAGGAGCGAAAGTAGCCGCATTGAGCAACCGACTAGAGAAGCCAACACAATCCGGATACAACCGCCGAAATCGTCCCCGTAGTCGCAGTCCTCCTAGATCACATCCGAAATCTCCCCCTAGGTCGAGATATTGCTGGTACCACGAGCGATTTGGTCAACAGGCCTGATCGTGTCGCCCGCCTTGTTCCTTCAAGCGCAGCATGCAGGGAAACGGTTAAGCCAGCGCGTAGGGGCGACGGACGTTGCTGGCTGCCCCAGTCGCCTTTTCTTTGTCACCGATCTCAGTACGGGAGTACGCTATCTCGTTGACACCGGCGCAGAAGTCAGCTTTATCCCACGTGATTCTAATGATGTTATCGAAGAGGCAACTAGTTCATTGCACGCAGTAAACGGCACCACCATTCGCGTGTATGGTCAACGCTCGCGCAAGCTTAAGTTAAACCTATGACGTTCATTTAAATGGATCTTTCTCGTCGCAGATGCCCAGACACAAATTCTTGGCTTTGACTTTCTGCAGCACTTCGATTTGCTTGTTGACGCGAAGCAACGCCGTCTGATCGATCGTCAAACAAACCTGGCAGTTATAGGTACTTTGACCGATATAGTGACAATCAGTCATGTATACGCCAACCAGTCTAGTTTACCTATCGGTCAGATGCTTAATACCAAGTTCCCGCAAGTCTTTCGTGCAATGGCACTGTTTTCATCCGCCACTGATGCTGCGAAACATCACATCGTTACAAAAGGTCCGCTTGTTTTCGCCAAAGCCAGGCGAATGACCCCTGACAAGTTGAAAATTGCTCGCGCAGAATTCGAGCACATGCATGAACTAGGCATCGTTCGCAGTCTAAAAGTCCCTGGGCGTCGCCGCTCCACATGGTGCCCAAAAAGTCAGGAGACTGGCGTCCATGTCGTGATTACCGCGCGCTCAATAAATTTACTGTTCCCGACCGATATCCGATTCCTCACATTCAGGACATCACGGCAAGCCTGCGTGGCACCCGTGTGTTTTCGAAAATCGATCTGGTTCGCGCGTATCCCTAGATTCCAGTCGCTGAGGAAGACATACCGAAGACTGCTGTAATCACGCCGTTCGGACTGGTTGAAGTTTTGCGTATGCCGTTCGGTCTTCGCGACGCAGCCCAGAATTTTGAACGACTCATCGATTCAGTCACTAGAGGTCTAAATTTCGTTTATGCATAGACGATATCTTAGTTGCTAGCGCTTCTAAAGAACAGCACGCAGAACATCTCAAAATACTTTTCGATAGGCTGACCGCTAATAGCATCACTGTCAACCCTGACAAATGCGTATTTCAGCAGCCTTCCATCGAATTTCTTGGCCACCATATTGATCAGCATGGCATCCAGCCTCTAGACGATAGAGTCCGCAGCATCACAGACTTTCCGGTCCCGACTACGTTAGCCGCTATTCGCCGTTTTAACGGCACGCTCAACTACTATCGACGTTCTCTTCCACACTGTGCCAATTTGCTAAGTCCACTAACCGACCTACTTCGTGGATATAAAAACGGTCAGGTGAAACCGACTGTCGCTGCTGCTGAAGCTTTTAAAGCCAGCAAAGAAGACTGAGCCAAAGCCGTTATGCTTCATCATTTCGAACCGAATGCTCCGCGCAGTGTTGCTGTTGATGCATCAGACACCGCCATTGGCGCCGTCCTACAGCAACATACAAATGGGGGCTGGAAACCTCTTGCATTCTACTCTAGACGCCTACAACCCGCCGAAGTCAAGTACAGTACGTTCATTCGCGAACTGCTGGCCGTTTACTCTACAGTTCGACATTTCCGACACGTCCTCGAAGGTAACATATTCATTATCTTCACCGATCACAAGCCGCTTACCTACGCATTCCGAAATCAATCAGCTCGGCACTCACCACGTGAGATCCGTCAGCTGGATTTCATTGCCCAATTCTCAACTGATATCCGACACATTTCTGGTCAACAAAACGTCGTTGCTGATGCTCTTTTAAGAGTATCAGCGATTGGCCCTGCCGGGCAGGTAATCGATTTGTCTGCTATGGCCGCCGCGCAATCAAACTACCAAACCTTTTCGGAACTTGGCGATTCTTCTTTGAAAATATCCCCGCACCCTTTGCCGTCATCTGGTGGTATCATTTTATGCGACGCATCTACCAGACGACCTCGACCCGTAGTTCCGGAAACATTTCGCCGTATGGTTTTCGACACCGTCCACAATATCGCCCACCCCGGCATTAAAGCTACTGCTAAGCTTGTCTCTGAGAGATACGTTTGGCCGGGGATGCAACGCGATCTTACGCGCTGGGCACGCAGCTGTCTCACCTGCCAGCAAGCCAAGGTTCAGCGGCACGTGTCCGCCCCGCTTGGTCGCCTTCCGTCCGTTTCAGCGCGATTTGCCCATGTCCATCTCGACATCGTGGGACCTCTGGCCCCGTCCAAAGGAATGGTCTATATTTTGACCATGATCGATCGTTGCACCCGTTGGCCCGAAGCCGTTCCCATCCCTGACGTAGCTGCGGAAATCGTAACACGCGCTTTTGTCGAGCGCTGGGTCGCTTCACACGGCTGTCCAGCCACAGTGACTACAGACCGCGGTCCGCAATTCGAATCTACGACCTTTAACGATCTCCTTAAACTCATTGGATGCCAACGCATTTGCACGACCGCCTATCATCCACAAGCGAACGGCATGGTGGAACGTTTCCACCGACAGTTGAAAGCCTCGCTTAGCGCCGCCAACGCGCTGAGTTGGACTGAAGTATTGCCTATGATCCTTCTTGGGATCCGAACAACTCTAAAGGTAGATCTACCTACGTCTAGCGCCGAGTTAGTATATGAACAACCACTGCATTTACCTGGCGAGTTCTTCTTCGTTAGTCCCAGAATTACCCGTTAGGGAGCAAATTATGCACGTCAGCTAGCCACGAGCATGCGTCACTACAAGCT